CTCTGTTTCCCAAGATGGCGTGGTCGCTGTGCCTGGGCTGGCCGCCTAGGAGTGTCCGCGCCGGGAGCTGGACTCCGCCGCCTAAGACTGCCCGGTTTAGCAGCCCCTTAGAAGACCTGCAATCTAACTGTCCCTAGCTCATAAGCACACACACCACACACGTCCACACACTCCTCTATCACTTCCTTGCGCTCTCACACTCTCTCCCTCCCTACCTTCCTGCTGGTCACCATTTTTCCACATGGAAGCTTTTAAAATATCCACAGAAGGCCACCACATCTTATTTTATCCAAGCTCCGTCTAGTTCTTTTAATTATGCTTCATTTACTATGCTAATAGACCTTCTGTTTTTTACTCTTTTCTTTGAATAAGATCTGCTTTGTTAAAGTCTGTTTTAGTCAGGGTTTGCTGGAGAAACAGAACTAATAGGGTGTATTTGTGTGTGAGTGCGCGCGCACACGAGAGAGAGAGAGAGAGAGAGAGAGAGAGAGAGAGAGAGAGAGAGATTTTTATTGATTTTAAGGAATTGGCTCACATGATTATGGAGGCTGGCAAATCCAAAATCTATAGGGTGAGCAGCAGGCTGGAGAGATAAGAGAGCTGATGTTGCTGCAGAATTCCCTCTTGCTTGGGGAGGCCAGTCTTCTGGTCCAGGGGTCCTCAAACTTTTTAAACAGGGGGCCAGTTCACTGTCCCTCAGACCGTTGGAGGGCCGGACTATAGTTTAAAAAACAACTATGAACAAATTCCTATGCACACTGCACATATCTTATTTTGAAGTAAAAAAACAAAACGGGAACAAATACAATATTTGTATTTGCATGTGGCCCATGGGTCGTAGTTTGAGGACCCCTGTATCTGGTCTATTCAGGGCCTCAAGTGATTGGATGAAGGTTGCCCACATTATGGAGGACAATCTGCTTCTCTCCAAGTTACCAAGTTAAATGCTGATTTCATCCAAAAACACTCTTACAGAAACACCTAGCATAGTGTTTGACCACATAGTTGGGCACTGTGGGCCACCCATGCTGACATGTAAAATTAACCATCATAATATCTATCTTGACAATATGGTGCATAGACATGAGCACAGCATACTGGGCACTTAACTACAAGGCTCTGTGATTGGTGAGGAGTGTGAATTGTGTCACTTTTCACTTTTTACACACCTCTGAGCCAGCCCTCTCTGCTGCTTTCACATGTGGACTGGTCCAGGTTCTTTGCACCTCAGAAGCAGATGACCATGAGATCAGATATGCATCATATGCTATTTTTTCTTCCCATTATTCTGGTTAGGTTTCTTGAAAGAATAATTTATACTCATTTCTTCCATTTCCTCATGTGTTATTCCTTAACTTTTTCTGTCTGGCTTCTGTCTCCACTCACTATTTCTAGTTCCCAAATTCAGTGGGAGCCATGGCCCAGCATTCCCCACCCTCTGAAGCACTGAACACTATCACTGTCCCCCCATTGGAAACCCTTCCTCCCTTGGCTAATAAGATCCACTTCCCCTTCTGTTCAGTTTAATAGCTTGTAATGACTGTATGTCAGGCACTGCTTGGTGCTGGGGACACATTTGTTCTCTTGACTGTCTCTTCAGGTTACTTTTGTGGCATAGAAGAAAGAGCAGAGTAATATGTGGATTGCATAAGAACTCCATAAAATATGCATTAGCTATTAATTAAATACTGAGTTTCTATAAAGTGCAAGACCTAATGAAAGGGATCCACCTCAAAACAAGTAAGATGTGGCCTTTCACCTTAGGGAATTAAAGGGCGATAAACATGTTCACAAATAAGTACATTATAAAGTAGAAAGTCAAGAGCTTTTAAAAAGATCTAATTATATGCTATAAGTCAAGATCAAAGGAAGGAAACCTACTTTTGGTCTTAGGAAATAACATTTGAGTTGCAACCTGAAGTGAGCACGGGATTTGAGCATGTAGAATAGGAGAAGGCCATTCCAGGCAGAAGTAGCTTCAGGAAAAAGGCAGACCTGTGGGAGGTGAGGTGGAAGGTGCACAGGCTGATTGTGGACGGCCGTTAGTTTCATGCCAGTTTGGCATTTTTTCAATTGTTTAACAGGGACTTAGTGCAAATCTTTTGGCAGTGACATAACATAGTAAACAATGTGCTTTAGAAGGGTCCTCTGATAGCCACTAAAAGACCTGGAATGAGCAGTGAGGGTGCCTGATCAAGTGGCAGGAAATGGGGCTGAGTCAGAGGGCTGCCTGGAGAGAGAAGATTAGGGAATTGGAAGTCTGGGCAGAGGGAGAATTGCAGGGGATGGATGGATGTGGGAGAGGAAGAGTCAGGAAAGCTCCTGGTTTGGAAATTTGGTGACCGAGTTGGTGCTGCTTTTACAGAAATAGGGTATTTAAAGCTACATGTGTTTGGGTAATGTGGATTCAAGGAAGAGGTAAGACTTTTTCATGTAAAAAGCCTGGATATCTAAAAACCATTGCTTGTATTCTGTTTGTGAATGAGGTACCACTGATGAGATACACTTCTGCAAGTTTAGAAGGTCAAGTGTGTTGAAAGCCACCTTCCCAACCCCTTCTCTTGGTTTCTGCTGGCATGAAATATTGTGTGTGTGTGTGTGTGTGTGTGTGTGTGTGTCTGTCTGTGTCGATGTTCTGAGTCAAGAAGCAGTTGTGTCTGGTGGCAACAGCCTGTTTTTGACTTCCTGATCTCTAGATCTTGTTCATAGGTATATATTCTTGACACACTGCTCCAGGAGTAGTTAAGAGACAGTAGTGCCCAAGTATTTTCTTCTGAGAGTTTTTCCAACAAGTTTGAAAGCACCTAATGTTTGTGTCCCTCCACAATTCACATATAGAAGCCCTAATCCCAATGTGATGTATTTGGAGGTGGGGCCTTTGGGAGGTAACTAAGTTATGAGAGTGGAGCCCAATGATGGGCTTAGCACTCCGACAAGAAGAGGCAAGAAAGCTACCTTGCCTTCTGCCATGTGAGCACAGAGGAGGAGACAGCCACGTGCAGCTGGGAGGAGGGCTCTCACCAGAACCTGACCATGCTGGCACCTCATCTTGGACTTCCAGCCTCCAGAAGGGTGAGAAAGAAATTTCTTCTGTTTAAGCCGCCCTGTGGTATTTGGTTATGGCAGCCCGAGTCAAGACACAATTAGTATTACCCTCAATTAACCCTTTCCTGCTGAACTGGGTTCTGCTTCTTTCCCTGAGCCCTGGAGCCCAGTGTAAATCCTCAATTGATGGGGGAAGGCACAAGTGAAACCCATGCCAGAGCCAGAAACGCTGACCCAAAGGATAAACGGAAAACGTGTCATGAAGGGTAAAGGTGAGGGTCTGCTAACAATGGTCAAATGCAGTAGAAAAAGTAGGGAAGATGAGGTTGAAGACAAAGCAGATGTGAAGTTTGAAAGTCACCTTGGAGGACACTATCTCACTGAGTGGCAGAAACCAGGCTGCAGAGAAGACTCTGGACACCGAAGGCAAAGGGGCTCTCTCACGAAGTCCCTGTTGGGAGGGGTGAGAGGACAGTTCATGGAGGGGGTGGGGGAGGACAGATGCAGTTTCTGGTTAGGGTGGGAGTTTACAGCAGTACACATTAAAGCTACTTAATTATAACTATTTGTAATCCAAATAGCCTAGAAATTTATAAAATATGAACATCACTTAAAGTCCCCTTTACAATAGCATCTTTTAATTTGAAGAAGAAATGAATATGAGATAATGTCTAGTTTCGAGTCTCCGTGTTTTTTTGGTCAATGATCACTTTTTTATTTCAGAACCCTTTGTTAGCTCATCTCACAGGCATGGACTTTCTTACTTCAAAATGGATGTAGGCAAATCTATCCAACTGACCTGCTGAGCCTTCGTTTCATTTATTTTCCTAGTTCTCACCTGTCACGTTCCTCAGGAGCTGAGGATTCACATCCTCTTAGCACCCTGTCTGGCTTGCAACATTGCACTAAAATTTCCTTGACTCCCTAGAACCTACTGACTAAGCTGCTAGCAGCTTGAGGGCAGGATTAGATTTTATTCTTCATATTTGTGGCAACCAGTATGGTGCTCAACAAAAGAGCAGTAAATGATTCAGTCACTGAACAAATACCAATTTACTGAGAATCTACCCACTGAAATGGGGTGAACAAGACAAACACAAATGCCACCAATATTGCATTTTGTGTCATTCACGCTCCTCTGTGTTCCTTCTAAGTGGTTCCCAGGAGCTCAGCTACTGTATGTCCCTGAGTGACAGCAGGGTGTTAATGTTGCTCTCATATAACGAGTCCAATTAATGTTGTGATGAATAAATTCCCCCTGAAAGGGCGAGGGCTACGCCCTCCATCTTGCCCTGGATCCTCCATTTTTGGGCAGCAGCCATTAGCCATGTGCTCAGCAAGGAGCTTCTTCCCGGAAGCCCAAGCCTCTGCTAGCCACACCTAGGATTTCTTTAAACTAACCAATGATAATCAAGGGAAGTGCGCGCCATAGATATGACCACATCCTGTGTAACAAGACCCCGACTTGCGCCTGGCCAATCAGCAGGGCCCACAGTTCTCTCTCCTCCCCTTACTCCAACCCCCCTATAAAACCCCTCTCCCCACAGAGCTCGCTCTCTTCTCTGCCTCCTGTCGCTGCGTCAGTGAGTGTGGTGGACGGGGAGCTTGAGCTAGCTCGAATAAAGGCTCTTTTGCGTCTTGCATCAGACTTGGCTCCCTGGTGGTCTTTGGGGACCCTGAACATCGGGCACAACAACCCTAGCCTTTGACCTCTCAGGAGCTAAAGGGCTTTTAATGTAATATTTGATGATCAGACCAAAGACTATATGGCCAATAGCGATAAGAGTGAGAAAGAAATGTCTTCTGTTTAAGCCGCCCTGTGGTATTCCCTGTCTTCCATGCGACATTACTTTCCATTTGTGATCCATCACTCTGTACATGCTGTGGGCTATCACATGTCACATGTTGTCTTAGTTTATTCAGGCTGCTATAACAAAGTACCACAGACTGAGCTAGCTTTTCAGCAATAGAGATTGATTTCTCAGTTCTGGAGGCTGGAAGTCTGAGTTTTGGGTGCAAACATGGTTGCCTGAAGGCCCTGGTATGGGTTGTAGACTTCCGGTTGTATCCTCATGGGTAGTATAGGCCAGCAATCTCTCTGGAGTTTCTTGTATTAGGGTACCAATCCTATTCATGAGAGTTCCACCTTCATGACTTAATTGCCTTCCAAAGAATCTATCTCTTAACACTGTCACATAGGTGTTAGTGAAATAGGAAGTTTAGGGGGATATAGGCAGGTTTAGGAAATTTTAAAAAATTAAAGGTCCATGGAAAAAACACAGGGCTACAGACTGGGAGAAGTTACATTTCCATAAGACAAGGAAGTAGAAGCAGCAGAAGTTACATTTCTATAAGACAAGGGAACTAGGAATAACAAAAATTCTATATTTACAAAATAAAGGAGGAAGAAAGCCCAGATGGAATGGGAGAACAATGAGGGAGGAGGGCCTCCCATGTCCCATGTGATATTTGACCTTTGAACTCAGGAGTTGCTATAGTAACCAAATCAAAGGGAATATTGGCCAATCAGAGGGGATATCAGGACACGGACTTGCAGCCCTTATAAGCCTTGGAAACAGGAACTCTGGCGGGACTCTTGC